CTTAACTTTCACATTATGTTGCACAAAATCTATTCTGTGCAGAGAGAAGGATGGAAAAGGCTTCATGAGCGTTTTTTGCCAAGCTTTATGGCTGCCAAGTTTTTTGTTTGTTTGTTTTGTTTTTCAAGACAGGGTTTCTCTGTGTAGCCCTGGCTGTCCTGGAACTCATTCTATAGACCAGGCTGTCCTCGATCTCACAGAGATCCACCTGCCTCTGCCTCCTAAGTGCTAGGATAAAAGGTGTATGCCACCACCACCTGGTTGGTAAAACTTGAATTTTTAAAACATTGCAATTCTCCCTGGGAGCTTACATTGGACTGATAGAATTGTGATATTTAATAAAGACTCTCCCTTCTTTTCCTTTCCCTCCCCTCATATTACAAACCATTGCTTTACAGCTATTTTCTTTTCACTTTAAGAATATTAATTCAGGCTGAGAGGTGGCTCAGCAGTTAAAGGCTGAGGCTCACAACTGAAATGTCCATTATTTCTGTTATGTGCTGTGGACCTAATCTGTAACAGCATGATTGCTATTTGAATGCTGAAATGAACAATATGGTTATGATAGATAACCAATAGTTATTTATAAATGCAGTGTGAATGGTTGCAAAGAAAACTTAAGATACAGACATTTCTAAAGCTTCCTAAGATCCTCAAAGTGCTTGGTTTTCTGACAGTTCTAAGTGGGAATTTTTTGCTTGTTAAAAAGATGACATTTGGGGGGCTGGAGAGATGGCTCAGAGGTTAAGAGCACCGACTGCTCTTCCAGAGGTCCTGAGTTCAATTCCCAGCAACCACATGGTGGCTCACAACCATCTGTAATGAGATCTGGTGCCCTCCTCTGTATACATAATAAATAAATAAATCTTTAAAAAAAAAAAAAAAAAAAAAGATGACATTTGGTCTGGGGATGTAGCTCAATTGATAGAGTGCTTGCTTAGAACGTTATAATCCCCTCCAGTTCCTAGGAGTACAATTCCTAGTACTGTATAAACTGGATGTAGTTGTGTGCGATTGTAATCCCAGCCTTCAGGAGGTAGAATCAAGAAGGATTAGAAGTTCAAAGTCATTTAGCTACGTAGTAAGTTTGAGGCCAATCTTGGATACTTGGCCCTGGTTGGAGTGGGGGTGTGTTGTGTTTTAAGAAATTTTGGCCAGGCAGTGGTGGTGTACACATTAATCCCAGCACTCAAGAGGGGGAGACAGGCAGATCTTTGTGAGTTCAAAGCCAGCCTGGTCTACAAAGTGAGTTCCAGGACAGCCAAGGCTGTTACACAGAGAAGCCCTGTCTCAAAAAAATCAAAAAAGAAAGAAAGAAAAGAAACTTCAGTGACAATTTGTAATGTTCTTATACTTGTTTCTGTTTTCTATTTAAAAAAAAAAGTTTAAGTTTTCAGTTTGATTGCTAAAAATGGCCCAAAAATTTAAAGTATTTTAATAACTTTCAGACCTTTTAGCTATATAATGTTTAATACAGTCTTCTCAAATTCTGTAATGTCTTTACCCTCTGTTTGAGTCTATTTACTAGTTCTTCCTCTTTTTTCTTTTTGGTTGTGTTTGTTTTGAGACAGGGTCTCACCATGTAGCTCTGGCTAGCCTGGAACTCCACTATTTAGATCAGGCTGGCCTTAAGCTTACAGAGATCTGAGTGATTCTGCCTTCCAGGTTCTAAGATAGAAGATGTGTTGTGTGCCTATGGCCAGAACTAGCTTTTTTGGCTGGGGCTATTGATCTTTTTCTTCCCTTCATGCTACATAATGAATGAATGCCCAGGTGTTTATGAAGCTAAAAATGATAGGAGCCAAGTGTGGTGGAGCACACCTTTAATCTTAGCACTTAGGAGGCACAGACAGAAGCGTCTCTGTGAGTTCAAGGCCAGCCTGGTCAACATGGCAAGTTCCAGGACAGCCAGAGCTACATAGTGAAATCCTGTTTCAAAAAAAATAAGTAAAATTTTAAATTGATAGTAATTCATGTTTCATAGTTGGTATCCTGTGTAATGTCCTTGTAATAGTTGCTTATTTTGTGAGTATTCAGAGACGGGTAATTCCTGGGGGGCACTCACCAACCTAAGACAGAGCACCTGTGTGGCCTGGGCAGGCGTCTCCATGACGGGTAAGGTGACCTGCTGACGTCCCATGCAACCCAAGTCAGAAGCTCATTTTTTAGTAAAAGGGGGACCTGCAGGGTCCTGGCCCTCGTTTTGGGTAACTGTTGCCATGCTTGCAGACTTTGACCCTGATATCCTCCCAATGCTAATTCCCTACCAGGTTCCACCCTCCTGAATGCTTAAGGGAAGTTCCTTGTCTAT